GCAGATGGCAAACTTGCAATAGTAGGACCTAGTTTGGCCTGTCATATCACTTTACTTTACATCATCGCAGCATAACGGCTAAAGATCGACAAAAGGAAGACGAAGATATCAACCAGCAACGGAGCCCCTGTACATTCTGAAGCGAAAGATTGAGGTAACGCGATGCCTCAGTCAAGTCAGTGATCTTTTGAGTGCAAATGTTTCATTCAATCATCAAACGTACCGATATTTACATTACTCACAACAAGAAAAAAGTTTTTACCTGCTTTTCTTAGAGATAACAGATTTTTCACGTATGTGTAACATCGAAATATCGCGCAATATACGAAAATTAGGTTGCGAGCGGACACCTCGGAAACAGAATAAGTTCAGGTCATTGCTGCCAAACCATGACTGGAAATAACCACTGAAATGAAAAAGCCTTAAAGCTATTACTGAAAAAAGCATAAACGTGTCACGATAACGAAAGCTGCGCAAAAGAGGAAACAATAAAGAAATGAATTAAGCAAAATATTTCAATTATAATTAGTCGCTACCTGAGTTTTGTAACCGGCAGTGTGGAACACATTCTAAAGTAAGAAATTTTTATTGAACTTTCATGTCCCAATGTGTCATTACACTATGACTCATAACAATGCTACCGACCAATACTACTGCGAGTTAAAAGTTCCAAGAAACAAGTGGAACTGTAAATTAAAAAGTCTCCACAGTTTGTAGCATCTGTTATTAACATAAAGCAATGGTTACAATTTTGACAAAAAGATGAGAAATAACTAACATCCATTACCAACAGAAACAAGAATACAAAGCGAAAGACAAACATCACTTGACCTTACCAGTTACAACTCCTTACGATAGTTACTCCGAAATTCAATCTTATTAGCAGGATAGCTTCCATCCAATCCACATACAGAAACACCGCGATACAATTAACCTGGAATACGAAATCAGGGTTTCGTCCCATGGTCGTCTATTCCTCATTATTACACTGGTAAGTCAGAAACCGTGTCAACCAAGCGAAATGCAACCAAAAGTAATGTTCAAACAGCAGCTCTTCGCATCCCGCCCATTCTGACATGACCGCAGGAAAATAACATATTCTTCCCAAAATTGGCACGTCGTCGATTTACTGCCATTTTCTTCGTTGGTTACGTAGAAGCAGCGTGAATATTCATCGTTTATTCAGGCAATTAGCACGTTTTTGCCTAAGTAAATTCGCACATGGAGCCTCCATTTCAATTGCTACCTGCAAGAAATACTGCCTGCACGACATAGTTATCGTGCCATCAGAGAAAGTATTAAAAAAAACGATAAATTTGCATTTACAAAGATCTTTTTGAAGTAAATAGATAGTTAAATATTCCTTAAGGGACCGACGAGTGATCACCATTCTCAATCAAAACGGCAACGAAGGAGCATCTTATCGAAGTAGAGCGGACAAGGCCTAGTGAAGATGAAGATGAAATGATAGTTTAATGCTTGAACAGCATCACAAAGGTATCTTACTTCTCAACACGGGTCAAATGAAAATGAATATTTAAAAATCATCGAATAAATATATTCATGACAGTAAAAGAGGCAAAACAGATGAAGCTATTAACAAAACTATGAAAATAACCGCTATAGCCGATTTAATGCGTAACGGAAATAAAGTTAAAAAACTAGAATTCGTTTTTTAGTTCAGATCATTGTTATCAGCTCTGTCCCATGTCTGAACTGTCAAATGGAGAGTTTCAAAATGGGCGGCTCAGTCAGTCACTTAAAATTTTGGCAAAGCAGTTGCGGCATTGCTCAAGGAAAATTGAATTTATCGATCGAACGTTAAGTCAGTGTTCATCAGGATATTAATAGTATTAAGCATGCAGTATGACAGTTATCTCATATACTTGGTTTCCTACCAGGCGTTGAGCTTCACTGCAGTTATTCTGCGTGCACAGCGGGGAAGACCGATTCCCGTGTTCTTCGATTCCTCGGCAAGACCCTTCTTAAAATGTGACAAAAACTTAGAAGAACTAGTTCTGAACCCAACCTAATCTTTTCAAAGCCATCAGTCGAGAAAAATTGCTATTTCGAAAACGTTTCTACGTAATAAAATGATAAAAAAAATTGAGAATGCAGCCAGCGTTAGAAACTGAATACTTTTAGCTCTAAGCCACTAAA